TTCGGCTATTATATGAAAATAATGCAATTATGTATTTAATATATAATTTATTAAGTAACATGGTGAGAGCTATATTAATAGATTTTAGTTGGTTATAGAATATAATTTGATTATTACCTTGAGAACAATTTGTTTAAAAAGATTACTGTAGAATTTGTATAACTTTAATTTCTTTTTGATAGTAGCTTTTAAGATTGGTTTTGGTTGATAGTAACTTCTAAATATTTAGAGTCACCTTTGTTAGACATTGGTGGCCTTTGAAAACTTATTTTGGTTCTTTTATTTGGTGTTTAGAGCATAAATTATATAAACCTTATAAAAAAAATGATTGAAGAAGGATTTTGGTAGCAAAGGAAGTAATTAGGGCACCAATATAGATGAATGGAGATGGATGATGAAAATCTCCATTCCTATTGGTCAAAAATCATGACCAATAGGCTTTGAGGAGGTTGCCCGTGGCCATATTAGGGATTAGGATTAGTTTCTTGGGGCCATTTGAGCTTTGAAGGCTAAAGTAATAAGTTTAGGTTTTTGGCTATGGTTTTGGTACAAATTTTGTATGGTTTGGAGTTTATATAAAGGAGATACAAGTGCTCAAAGTTAAGGTGTTGATTTAGAAGCTATTGTCAATCTTTTAGGCATAACGCATGCGTATGGATAGCAATTGAGGATTGGCGACCGCAATTGGAGAGAGTACTTTTGCGGCTATATGTTTTATATATTGCTTACTAGATTCCAAGTTGAAGTAAAGGAGTTCTTGGATTTTGAAGTCAGCACATGCAATCTAAGGGTATTAAGTGGTCCGATTTATTAGTGGTTGTAACTTGAGCTATATCTTAAGGAATTTGACAAGGTTTTGGCTCAAAATTTCAAGAAATGTGTAATTTTATATTAGTAAACTTTTTACATAAGTTTGATGACGTTTGAGTATTGGATTCTTGAGATATTAAGAAAATAGTGCTCATGTACTAGTAAATTAGGGTTTAGAGCATCTGCTAGGATTTCTTAGATGCCAAAAGATCGAGAGTGAATTTGTCATTGGTTTTTTCTATGGTAAAACTTAAGGATAAATTCTACCTACCTTATGAATTTAAAACAAACTAAATGGCTAGATCAAGAGTTATGAATTTCTAAAATTTTAGACAAGAAAATTCTTTGCAGAATAAATATGTTTTAAAGGGATTTTGTTATATTTTGAGTTTTATGTAAAATAAAGGAGTTTTGGAAGGCTAACACAAGATTCATATAAAGGTTTAAGCTAAACTCTCTACAGCTAGATATCTAGTGTATTTTGTAATAGCAAATCATGCCATACGACAACGAACTTATCTTGTATTAAAGAAAGGAGATGCTGTTTTTGATCAACAACGGACAATTATGTTAAAGCTAGAGCATCTTGATCTTCAAGCAATGAAATCAACACTAATTGTTAATTCAACTTTCATTAAGTAAGTTCAGTTAAGTATGTCTTTTAATCCTTTTATTCGTGATATTAAGGAAAATCCTTCAAAGTCTCATAATACTTCCAAATTTGAATTTAAGAAGAATCTACTATATTTTGAGGGACGCCTATATGTTCTAGAAGGTGAAGCTCGATTACGTGTTCTTCAAGCTCATCATGTCTTTCCAACAGCATGACATTTTGGATATAATAAAACTTTGGAACTAATATCTAGGGACTTTTGGTGGCCCCAAATGTGGAAAGCAGTCAAAGATTTTGTATAAGCTTCTGATATTTGCTCGAGATCAAAAAATCCTTGTCATTGACCTTATGGACTTCTTCAGCCATTACTCATTTCAAAACAACCATGGTCCATATATAAATAGATAGAAGTGAGTAAAAATAGGTAAAAGTAAGTTAATTCTATAATATTTATTATGGAAGCTTTCTAGAAGCCTCATAGATACTACTTTGACTTTATAGGTGTCTTTAATTAACTTTTTGGATTAGAAACGTGGTCAATAAGTTGGACATATGCCACATATGTTGTTAGCTTCAAGACTAAGCTAACTATGTAGCTCACATGTAGAAAAACTTGCCTTGTAAGTCAAAGCATGTGTCCTATAAAGTCAACACATATTGGAGGTCCTATAGAACATCACCACATAGCCCTTAGTTAGATAGTTTATAGAGACAAGAGTTAAGCCTTCTTCACTCTTGTCAATTCCTTTCTTATTTCTAGTTTAGTTTCAAGGATCTCTAGTTTTCTTGACTTTTGGCAATAGCCATTTCAGTTTCTTTTTTAATATACATATCAAGTTATTTCTATTTTTTCATCTTTCTTTGAAAGAAGTCTCACTTATTTATTTATTTTTATCATATTTTTTTCCTTGACAATAGGGTTGCTACTATTGTAGCAAGGTCTTTTATTTATTAATAAAAATTTTAAATTAAAAAGAATTCTCAAGCTTAAATTTTTTAACTCAAATAACATAATTTTTGAATTCAATATAGAGATTCTCTTACTGAATATGATCTACTTCAATAGTAAAATCAACAATTTTTTTGATAAGAACGTCTTTGAACTATTTCTATTTTTTTATAAAAAAGATCCTTTATAATTAATAGAATGTCAAATAAATACGACAAGTTATGAACTTTATTATAGATGAATTAAAATCTTTGACAAGTTCCATCTATTAGGTGGAGTTTATTTATAATTAGAGTTATTTTTTTATACAATTTAGTAAAATCTCTTAACAATTGGTAGAAATCAAGAAGGATTTTGGAAACAAAACATGAATCATATTGATATTCAACAATGATTTTGTCAGTTGGTAGAAAGGTTATGAGGCTTTTAATGAGATAAACTTTAAAATCTTTGATAGAAATTGTATTTTTTATCTTAGTCTATTGAATAATTTTTTTTATATTATAAATTATGAAGACTTATTTACATATAAGGCTATGCATAATGGATTCTAAATTGAAAATTATCTCTACATACTTTTGTAATAATCTCCATTTTGTTAGTATTGACTTTGCAAGTACACAAAGTTTATATTTTAAAGCATAGATAGCCTAGCCTTTATGCCATTATGTGAATTTAAGAACTTTATAATTTTTTTGATATTAGAAGTAAATAAATATAGATATTTAAATAGATACTCAAGAAAATTGAGACTATACAATATGCATTTTTAAGAACTAATAAAAAAAATTAAAAAATAATATTTTCTAATTCTTCTTATTTACAAATATATTGTCTATTACTACTCCATCAAATTTAATGCTATTATTTTTTTATGATCCATTCAATATCTCTTACAATTTATTCAAAATTATGATTTTTTTATCTTATTGAATTAGATTAAAAAAGAAGTTTATTTTCTATGGAATTACTGCCATATAATTAATAATTTATTCATTGCAAATATTAAACCATATATAAGAAATAAAAAAACTACAAATAATATTGATTGCAAAAATTAATTACATTTACCTTTGATCTCCTTGTAATATTACTCAAGAAGTGCACCATTGATTATCTTGCAATAAAAAAGAAGGTCATTTTTAAGTTGGAATACTTTGATTGTTTCTTTGTGGTTCTTGTCATTAATCTTTAGAATATAGTTCTTTGCACAAAATAATACATTATCAAATGCTTCTAAAAAGAATTTTTAAAAATTTTACTAAATTTTGGTAATATAAACTTGTTGATTTGAATTTTTCTTTGTAGACAAATAAACCATACAGAAACCATGATCTAAATCTTGTTTCTTCTTGTTTGCATAGTTCATATGCCATTTAAAAAGATCTTCTTCAATATCCAATTTTATGATCCTTTCTATCAAAATATTATAAAGTTTATACTTATTAATAAAATGATCCATTGACTATTTGATTTTCTTGTAAATATAAATGGTTTTCTTGCATTAAATTCTCATGGGTCATCTTAAATCTTGAATATTGTAGAAAATAATCATTAATAATTATGAAAACCTTATGATATATAGGACCCACATGGATTAAATCTATTTTTTAAAAAATAACTGATTTTTAAGTTTTATTTTTGAACTTGATTAAAACTTAACCTAAAACTTATACACTTGCCACCTATATATTCAATTGGTACTTTGTACTAAATGAATAGAAAACTCAATTGTCTCTTTTCACTATAACATTTTGATAAATCCTTATTCTTAATCTTGTCTAATTGCTCATATAGTTGCTCATATATGATTTTTTTTTTGTATTTTTTTTTTAAACCTCAAACTCAAAATCCCTCTTACCAATATTTTACCAATATTTTAAGGACTCTCAACAATTGATTGCACGTCTTACCACTATTTTAAGGACTCCCAACAATTGATTGCACGTCAAGTGAATGGACTGCTCACAAAATGAACTGCTTGAATGCACAATGGCTTTGTACATTCAAGCCATTATGCTCCCTAACAAGTAAAAAGGTCAGAGTGCGGGCAAGATGCTGGTTCTGCGAAATCGCTTCTTTTAGAAATCACCTTGTTTAGAGGACACTTGGCAGGCTGAAAAAACCTGTTAATAGAAACTGTTGAGCGCATATGCAAACGTCATTCCGATTCACACTAACGACTGGACGAAGCTGGCTGGAGATAGCGGAGCCACTTTGTTTAAAATATCTCGAATTATTTATTGCTCTCTATTTGCCTTTCAATTCTTGAAATCGCAGACAATAGCGGGCCGTTTCTGACAAGAGATATCATCTCATGAAATGGCTAACAGTAGAAGTCTGTTGCTGACAAGAGACATCAGAAACGACAGAGAGCTCAACGGTAAATCTGACAGGCTACAGCTAGAGCAGAAAGCAGTCCAGTCTGAAATACAGTCAGAGGTGCGATTCTTGCTTACTTTTATGAAGCAGTGGTTCCGCGCAACTGATCGACTACCAAAGCATGTGCAACAGTAACATTCTCTGCCCCCATGCAACAAACTGGATGTAACAAACATAAAACAATTATATATGCCCATCTTAGGAAAAGGATCACCTGGTAGCATGGAACTGAATAATCTACAGTCCTCAAAGCATTAGAGTAACTGGATCCTGAACAAAGCCTTTGAATGCACCAAGCCATTGTGCTCCCACTGCACCTGTTGCAGATACAGAATAAGCGCATCCGCAGATGTTCAATAGAAAAAATGAATTCTGGCTATGGGTGGATGTTTTCAAGACGAAAGATAAATTATTTCAGACGAAGTTCTGACGTTTGTTTTACCTTCGAATTGAAACTAAAATGTACTACGTTTCAGAGAGAAGCCTTCTCTGTAACAGCGTCACATTTTAAAGACGTCCTTCAAGAGCAGGGAATCACATTCAAATACCGTGCATACAGTACGAAGGGACAAAGATTGAGACAAACCATCAATAGCACGATGATCACAGCTGAGGGTGAAAGTCATAATAGTGCCTAGCTCAAAATCTCCCAAGTCTACTCCGGGACACACCCGTTTTAAAGCTGTTCACACGGAAAAAATCGATGTAGTTAAATAGAAGTTTTATTATTTTTCATTTTCTTAACTTTCAAATTTATGGTGAAGATGGTCACTTGGTAACATAAAAGTATTTTTACCAAAAGTTTATATGACGAACTGAAAAGATGGGGAGTGAAAAGAGTTTGAGGGTTTCGTTGCAAATCAACTCTTCCCACCTCAAAAAACTTATTAGAGTTTGTAAATATTGCTTATGTACGAAGACAATGTACTTAGTTTTGATCTGAGCAGGTCTGAGTTGAATCACTTACTTCCTTTTTGTCGTAGATTTAAATGATAGCATAAATGACTCATACAAAGAGACCAGCGTACTGGTGCCCTCAGCGACGATGCAAGCCTGAGCTTGATTAGTTTTTAGCCAACACCATATCATCTGTGATAGCCGACAAATCCTTTTTGTCGGCATCCTGTACATCATGAATCAATAACTTGTCATAATATACTCCAATATCTAAAGAAGTGTGAGAGCAACTAAGGCAGCTGTTACATAACTACAATCCTGGATCTAATACTTCAGAAGTACTTAACTCTTCCGACAACAGAGTCGCGAAGTAATATCTTTTTTTACAGGAACTATAAGCCCATGTTCATTCTGAACTGCAAAACAGTTATCCACAGTGATATCTGCTCACAGAATGCAATATTGAGCACCTTTACAGTTTGTGGTGTAAAATTTAAGAGAATCACAATCTGATTTTATTCGGATAAAGAACAACATACGATGATCGAGTGTGTTTTTTGCTGTCGAACATCACACTTGCCTAACCTCTTATTCTGCACTTACAATTAATTCATACGCAAAAGCTCGCAGTAGCACCCTCATCATGATATAATCCGATCACCCGAGTTGTATATTACGAAAGGATGGGTCTACTATGTTATCAATGACTAAAAATCACACTACAAAAATCAAATGACCTCACAGATAATTTACTATAGAAAGTACTCTCCAGTCCAAGAACTGTTCTCCTGTGCTTCCTTCTTTGATGCCAATGCTGCGGCGTGCATGTCCAGATTCATTGGAAATCTGCTCCGTAATTCCAAGATGTTACTTGATTGCGAAAGTGACGAGCTAGTAATTAAGCTTAATTTGATCACGAAATCGTTCAATGAAACCTTCTTGACAGGAGCATCCTGCTTTTCGTTGGCTTCAAGGTTTCTATTTATTTCCTCCCACAACCTACGTCAACGTGAACAACTCACAAAAAAGTTCCTGTCTTCAAATATGTCATGCTCCAGATATTAAAAAACTAAAATAAATGTAGGTAAGTTCAATGAGTTGTCAAAGTACAAGTAGTCAGTACTCAAAAAAGATGGGTCAGTATCAAAGCACTACGAAACAAACTCAATGGAGGAAAAAACTTCGTAAGAATCTGTGAACTTCACAACATCCTCATAAGAATCATGTCTGGCGAACCTGTTTCGTTAGATGTTGCATGAGACAGTATCTGACTAATAGTTTCCTGAGTTCTAGGAAAGATTAAAGATTCACACAACTCTTTTGAGGCTTAGAGTAGATACCTCATAGGTTAAGCAATGAGGTTAGGCTTTACCTTGCAGATTTAAGTATGTGTATATCTCTGTATTCAACATCTTCAACAAAAACTCTTCCTCTTGAAATTTCTCCTTTCATAAACCTGCGTGGTAAAGAATGCTTTGCGGCTGTAGACACACCATATCAGCTGAGAGACCCACTCCTCAGTTATTCACATCGCAGTCAAATAATTACGCATATCTTTACATAATAGGATTGGTAAAGACGCGAGTGTTCGAGAAGAACCAGACTAGATCTAAATACCCTCCACATTCAGAAGATGTGTATTGTTTATTACCGCATTTAAACACAAAGGTTAGCACCAAGGCACAAATCGCGACTTGCAGATCTTTTGTGATACAACGGTAAAAAAAGAAATATCCAAGAAGGCAGTAACACTGCGCACACCCAAAGTAACTAACAGATACAGAAAAATGCAAGGAATTCTGAATAAGTAATTCTGAATATCAGTATATTACGCTTCCCTGAAGGCCAATACCCTTGAAACTTGACATGGAAACCTGAAAACCACCATCAGGCTGATGAGGAAGAGCCGTAGAGGGCTTCGAAGCAGTAGAATGCGGAGCAGGGGTCGGAGAAGGAACAGCAGCAGGAGCTGATTGCTGAGAAGGAGCCGAAGACCCTTCTACAGCAACCTTATAATCACCAATAGTTTCCAACTGATCTTCTGTATCGATCATCAAACAGATGACCTGTCATATAAGAGAGCCAGCTAAAAAGACAAGTCTACCACAAGGCAATGAGATCTAGAACCTGAGTGCATCAAACCTACAATATTAATTAAAACTTCATATCATTTGAAAACGTAGTGTACACATCGACCCAATATGTTCGCATGTGATCACGATCATTTGCAATATGCTCATGTAAAGGCCTCTGCTGCAATCTGAACTTAAACAAATTATTCGTAGTTCCTCACGCGAAACATCACATGCAAAACAAGGCCAGACAGATTTACATCCGCTCCATTCATTCTCTCATTCATTTGCAATTTGCAAAATCAACTTCGGATAAGGTTCCATGCTTATGTAAAAATCGCATCAAAGAGAAACTGAACTACTGTCTCAATTACGCAGAGAGTATCCCTAGCCGAGACACCGTCACCCGCCTTTACCAATTTATAATTTTACCCTGAACCCAGTTATGCAGTAACTGATGAATTTTGGTGTATACCACTAATCTTCTTGAGACAGCACTTATGGTTCTTGCACTTCTAAAAACTGAATGTCTCTTCATTTGAAGTGGAAAATTGTGGTCAGAAGAAATTTTCCAAGAGAAGATGCTCACTTATCAGCGAGTAGTTTGCTTGAGAAACACTGGACACTCTTGAGTCGTGGCAGGGGAAAAAGATGACATTCAAATTGTCCGAGCTCCAGTAGAAGCAGAAATAGCACCAGGAGTACGGAGAGTGCCAGGAGGAGTTCCCGCAGAAAGAACAGATTTCTTGGGAGGAGGCGAAGACCCGCCATTAGTAAGACTTATAGTTCCAAATAGTTTTCAACTCGTCTTCTTTTTCAACTATCGAACAGGTGGCTTGGTAAGCAACAATGTCAGCAAAGAAGAAAAGTCTAACATGAAATATTCAAGCAGAGAATTTTAAATGATCTTGAGTCATTCAATCACAATTCCCATTACTAATATCCTCAATCCTCCGATTACAAAGACAATTTAGGCAGACGAGCCCAATCAGAAACTAAAATACCTTGTTAGTGGCGTATATTTTATCGAGATCAAACAACCAGTCAGAAAATTACCTGACCACATGGAATATTGTTAGTATTCTTGCAAACTACATTCTTGCCCAAAAATCCATCCTCCATCGCTTCCATCTCCAGTGTTGATTTATTTTGATTACAAACAAGGGACTCACATGTGACGATTATTTGCAAGTTTCTTCCTCCGATGACATTTTCAGTCCACCCGAAGTCAGTAAGAACACTCATCTTGAATGACATGATACATTCAACGTGAGGATATCAGAGTAGATTATGCATACCACCTCAATCTCACACAAGATATCCCCGGCAGACTCTTCATCACCCTCCCTTTTACGCCATCTACAAATCTTACCCAGCACAGCACAAAAGGGGAAAAATGAACTACAGCATTCATGTACACCAATGAGTCTTTCAATTCAAACAACACTGACGGTGAGTACAGCTTCTCGAAGTATACATCGCTTCGATTCATCTAGAAAAATTGTGAACACAAGGAATTTCAAGATCTGAGAGGTGGATTTGATGTTCACAATTTTTCAGCTCCTTGACCAACATCAAATCCACCTGAGTCTTAGTTACGGAAAGCGATGGCATACCAATCTCTTGAACTGCATTCACTGCATGTCAAAGAAAACACTCAAATTGAACAGTTTTCTTCGTTAAAGCTGGATGCTCTGAAATTCAGATAGTAAACATGTCATCCATGCACATACAGAACATAATGAACTGACTAGAGGTGGATTATTGAACTTCAACATTGACCCTTTACTTCGGAGGTTGAGAACCTTCTAGTGCTCAAAAGTGCCTCTAAAACACTCGTCTAGCTAAGACTATAATTGCCAAAAGTTATTCCAAGAACTATTTTCATCGCCTCATACTTAGGTTGGAAACTTATTGTGAATGGCAAGAGAAGTGGCAATTCAATGCTATATCAGCAATAAAATGTCAAGGATCAGCCCATTCAACATCAACAGTTACTCATTGCACTAGAAGTGGCGTGGAACAATGAAATTGGAGCACCTGCATTCTTCTTCGAATCTGTTGTGGATGTCTGCTGCGAGGAGGACCTGCAAACATGGGCGCAAATTTAATGACGAGTTAGTCAAAGCAGGGTACAAAGGTACCTTCTCCTCTCTTCACATTTTTCTGGATGAAAAAGCGTTCGAAATCCGGAAAATCTATCCAATAAGTGAAAACTTAGCCCGTAAAGTTTAACTTGGCACCTTCGTGGGCCCAAATAGCAGCCAGGCGAATAGACGCCATAGCTTGCTGAACACCCCCTGCTCAACGAGAACCACGACTCCACCACTTCACTCACACACCCATCTCATGTGCATGGGCTCTCTCTGTGCGGTGCAAATGTCATCGCCAAATCTCCAGAAAGATACTCTAGCGCAGAATCCTTTCCACACACCAGCGCGTACCAAGAATTCACCAAAACTTCAATTCTTTAACCCTGGACGCGAATCGGATTAGATTAATTAAAACCGCCTAGTCTGAAATAACGAGGATCGCATAGCAAACGCCACCTCCGTGCATGATCTCCCCATACCGATCCAAGGTTCCAGGCGGGTCCAAATGACGCAGCGTAACTACAGTCATGCCAAGTCGAAACCCCCTGATGAAAAGTTCGCCAAAGAGCTTCAAACAACCTGGGAAATCCTATGAGGGGGTGGCGAATTTGATCAACGTGGGAAGCGAGCTTGAGGGCAGGGAAGAAGACTTGCATGCAGGAGGTGCTGAAATCATCACCATCACTCTCTCATTCATTGCCTTCAAAGAATGTTTAGCTGCGGCACCAGGGCGAGGGGGCGGCGTGCGAAGGCAGGCTCAGCACATGACCATGCTACCCCTCGCAACGACTCCGGCACTGTTGCCATCGACATTCATCCTTTCTTCCTCATTCTTGCAGCTCTGGGCTCTCTCACTCCTTCAAGTCTTCATGCCTTGGTTTGAATAGCGATGGTGGCGGGCGAAGATCTTGGTTCATACGTTGCGCTGCATGGGATGATTCCTTTCTCATCCACCTGTTTTGTTCTCAAAGGGAGTAGTAGTCTTCATGCACAGGAGGAAAAACTTGTTGTTTGTACTCTGTTGTTCTTTGTGTAGAGACAGAGGAAATTTGCATGATATGTCTATATAAATACTCTTCTTATTGATGACCACATGGTATTTTTTTTTATCTTTTCATCTTTGTTGTAATGTCTTTTGCAAATGTGATTTTTTTCCATACCAAAGTTTGCCAAGGTTTCTAATATCTTAGACTTGTGACTAATTTAAAGATGATTGAGGTAACTCAAATCTCAATAAGGTCATTCCTTTAACCTCTTCTTCAAAAGATTGTAGCAACTAAGCAGGAAGAAGTATGTAAGGAGTTAGATTTGCAAATTCTATTGTTCCAAATGGTCTATGAAACTTGTATTATAAACATTTAAGCAATGGTCAACATCTTATAATGACACTTTAAACCAATCAAGGAATAATACAAAAATCTTTAATATATAACCAAAACCAAAATCAATAACTACGACATTTTCAAGAAGTTAGGTATATAGTGGTTCAACCTAATACAGATTCTTAATTCAATTTGGTGCAGTTGAATTGAAAGAAGATATCTTTAAATAATAGATATTCACTTTTTTTTTATTTGTGAACATAAGTATGAGTGCCAAAAAACCAATAGGCATAGTGCTTAATTATTTTAAACTTAAAATCATAGGTCCATTAGAAAAAAAATACTATCAAATTTAGAGTCCAATAAAATCAATTTTAATCAATTCAATTTAATTCTAATTATTCTTTGAATAAAATATATTAATCTTGGATGATAAAAATAAAAAGATAAAGATGATTTTGTGAAGTAGTTAGAAAAAAAAATAATATAAGAAAGAAAACATCTACATTTGGCTTATAGATGTGATTGATTAGTTGAAATTTAATAATGATTGTATAGAACTTGCAATCTTGATAGTCAATATTTATGTAAATAAAATATTTATCTTAAAAATTAATAAACTTGAGTTGAAGACATTGATACTATTATGAAAGAAGAAACTATAATGTATTTTTTTTTATATTTCAAAAATACATCCGAAGACATTGAAGTTAGACATGCTATATCTACTTATTAATCAATACCTAAAAATTGGTACTTTAAGATCTATTGATCTAATGCATGTGATAAAATAAGATTGGTTAAAAATTTAAGTCAATTATGATTAAAAAAAAAAATCAAATATGTCAAGTTTGGTTTCTAATTAGATAAAGAAGAATTAAAGAAATAGAAATCTTTTGTAATAGAATATTTTGATATATTTGTGTGGTCTTATAAAGGTCTTATATAGGTCTTATAAAGACCTTCTTATAAATATTAAGTGAACCATCTTTTAAACCATCTTTTAATATTTATCTACACAATATTCTATTTCTTTTAGAAAACCACACATATTAGATAAAAAGATAGAAGACTCAATTTCAAGATATAAGTTAGTATAAGAAAAAATTTAAAAGGCTACTTCAAGCAAGTTTTATAAGGTCAATAGAAATTATAGATTAGTTGTCTCATATTGGCTTGATAAAGAAGAAGGGTCAAAATAATCTTAGAATGTGTAAAAATTATACAAAATTTGAATAAGTACACTAAAAATGACCATTTTCTATTACCTTTCATTACTTCTATAATAGATAATGTGGCAAGTCATTACTCACTTACATTTAAAGCCGAACACTTTGGTAAAAATTAAGTATCAATAGCTTTTGAATATTGGTACAAAATTCTATTTATATTCACTTGAAAAAGTTTTGTATATATAATAATATCTTTTGGCTTTAGCAATATTCTTTTAGCTTTTCAAAAATTCATTAATTATACATTTTCAATTTTTTTTAAAAAAATCTATATCAACTTTTATGAATAATTTTAGTTGTGAATCATGAAAAAAATTTAGTTGTGAATCATAAAAAAGAATTTCAAAACATTTTGAAATACATGGATTGGTACTATATTCTACATATGTCTCACCATTAATTAATTTTTTGAAGAAGACCACCAAATTTGAATAAATCTTTAAATGTTAAGTTGGTTTTTATGCAATGAAAGACAAATTGCTAACTTAATTCTTATCTATTACTACCTAATTCGAATCTACCTTTCTATGTCTATTTTGATGCTTATGAAATGGCAATAGGTAGTGCCTTATATCACCTAAATGATAAGGGTGTGATTCATCTTACTGTCTTTGTTAATAAAAAATTG